GCTGACAGATAAAACACAATGTCATACAGTGGTTTCGGTTGGGTTAGACTCTTTTGCATCCATTTCTGGTGTCATTACGCAGAACAATATTGAGCTCTGGGAGATAACACCAAAAAGGATGTGGGAGTCGACTTTGAGATATTTTTACTGAGAAACTGCATCCAGCATACTACACAAACCTAATTAAAATGACTACATGTACATTTGTTCTTGTTAGAAAGGTAAAACATATAAAGCTGTAGGATATCATTCCAGGAAAACAGATATCAATGAAATGCGTTGGCAAGATTTTAGACTATCAATAACCATTCCTTAGAGCAAACTGGACTAAAAAATAAACCTTTCAGTTAAGCAAGCAAATCATAGTTCCTCACCACAATTTATTTCTTTAATAAGCATTGCAGCATCATGAGCACCCTGAACGATGCTTCTAGACCAATGAGCTAGTTCTCTTTGAGTTTCAACTCTAAATAAGTGAGCTTCAACGCCTTTCCTTGATCCTGTTCTTGTCCCAAAACAAAGATCTTGATGTTGGATGTGGTTATTGCCATGACCTGAATGAACAAGCCTACGAAAACACATTTGATTCATTATTTTAGCCTCTTTTTACTCAAATGTTTATAGCATTAGTGAATGTTGAATTGTGTCCCCAATTAGCCTTACTATTGTAAGCTAGATCAATCTGACACATAAATAAAGTTTATTATTATTATTATTATTTAAAAACTGACAAGTTCATTACAGTAAAATCAATTTCTCACCGAGTTGCTAAAAGGGGGTGACTAAGGTAGGGTGCACTCCAGTCCTCTTTAGACCATGGTGCAGATTCATATAATAACATATCTTTTTCTGTTAAAGCCATGAAGACTGGTTTCCAGTCCATCCTACTGCTGTCTCCTCCAAGATGGACCTGTTCACTAAGCCATCCCATTGTCTTTATTTCACGATATCCAACACTACTGCTCAGCATTTCATTGACTTCTTCTGTGGCTGAAAAAGTGCATATTTTGACATATTCAAAGTTGAAAAATACAAACAGACAGGATTTTAGCATGAATTGTGTGAAAAGAGAAAATGATAAAAATATCATTGTAATGGCTCAATTTATTTTAACTTAGTTACACAACTTCTATGGCCCAACAGATTAAAGTAAGAGATTATTAATGAATGCTCCCTAACTTTATTGATTCATGAATGACAATGCTCTTTTTCTCATCTATTTCATTAAAAATGTATAACACACAGATGATTGAAAACGCACCTTGCAGTTGTAATGACTGCTCTTATTCATAACTGATATTAATCACCATAGAAAAAAAATCTATTTCTTTTTGTAATCAATATTGTATTATAAGTGATGTGGGATAGCAATTATCTTGACGAAGCAACAGAAAAAGAGAGATATGCAACATTTTATAGATTTCATCTTACACAGTCATGATCTAGTAAATTTAGCTCAAATAGCATACTGTATTATGCAGGTAACTTCATGGTCGTTAAAAGAAATAACCTCTAATGTGGAGAATTCTAGAGGCTGTTATTCACCTATAACTCTTAGTAGAATGTATAAATCTTCATATCATACTCGGCCTAAACCAATCATAATTTGTTTGACTTTAGTAGTAGTAAAATAATGTAATATACTGGACTTTGAGTTGGGCTCAATTCATATTTAATGGGTTTAATTAAATCCACTAAATTCACTGTAAATACGAATATATGTCGTAAGATCTAGAACATAAAATATTCAATTTGATGTAAAATTATATTTAGAACACATCTGTTCAATTATGAATATTTGTACTTTATTAAGAGCCCTCAGAGATCGTAACAAATTCAGTTTCTCGAATCATTGACCATACATAAAAAAACATTGCTATCTCTCGCAATTAGGATATCTTTTGCATCTTTCACTTAGCAAACCAGTTCGATGTGTTCCAGATTGTATCTGTTCAGGTATTTTATAAACAATCAAAGAATTTACCATAACAAAACCGATTTTTACATTCTTCTAGAACAAAGTATCATTTCCTGTATTCCAATTAGGTTTTTCATTCACAATAAATCACTCAAACGATATTTAGCTATTGATACAGTCTTGCAATTGTACACAACAAGTACAAATATGTGTTCGTTTGGGGCGAATGAGATGTTAGTTTGACATGTAGTTTAAAAACCCCCGAAGCGAAAAGACAAAGGCAAAACCTCACCCTAACGTATGAGTATTTTATGTTATCTCAAACATAATGACGTCCACAACAAAATGAAAACATGTTAACTGTTTTTGAAATATTTCAACACAAGGAAATCATCTGTGTAAGAAATATTGTTTGGTAAATTCTTAAGTGAGGAGGGTAGGAAATGACTCAAGGTGCACAACAGTAAATGACGATAAAGTCGAGTGTGTGTTTGTCGATTAGAAAGAAAAACATACTCACATAGACAATAGTAGATAAGATTCCATGAAAAACATTAACAAAGAGTTCTTATCTTCTTAAAGAAGTGAGCACACGTGAAATAGAGAAGCCATTTGAGTTGGTTATGTCAACTTGCTATTAAAATCTGTCGTGTTTTGAACCCTTACCTGGAGCTAACAGCCTTGAAATGTTTGTATGAATCGCATTAAACCATTCCTGTAAAGACAAACCATCCTTGGCTCTCAAAATACACGCCGAACGACCGTCTGGAGCATACAGTTCCAAAGCTCGCCCTGGATTTTCTATCTTCGAAGATACAAATCTTGTCACAAAACTCAGTTTTAATGGAATATTTTTTACTTCGCTCCAAGAGGGTTTCCCCAAACTGTTCGTTTTCCCTTCAGAGTTTTGATCAGAAATTTCAGCATTTCGTTGGAAATACGGAGTTACTTCTTTCACATACTTGACAGTAAGATCAACCTCTCTACCGGCACGTTTGAGAGCACGGACTGCCTCGTCGTGTGTTGCGTTCCGAAGGTCTTCCCCGTTTACCGCCAAAATAGCATCCCCAATATACAAGCCTTCTGTTTGATCAGCTGCTAGACCTTTGAAAATCTTTGATATCAATATAGGCATCCTGTTTTCTTTGCCTCCCTTGATGCTTATACCGAGTCCACCTACTTCTTGTTTGATAACACGTACGGTACGGATTTCATTTGCAATGCTCTCTGGAGGTTCTGTTCGGTCATTTGCTTCGGTCTTTCGCGGCGATGGCGGAGTTTCGGCCTCTCCATTCGTGGTAGGAGTATTCTCAACATTAAGAGTGAGTAGATCGTCATCTAGAGTAGCTACCACTCTCTGCCATCCATCTTTAGTGAAGATCTCAAGTGAACCAGACGGAGATGTAGCCGCCATGTTCAAACTCTGCATTCCCCTCATACCTTGTTCCCAGAGTGCATTGTTTTGAAATATGTATTGTTGAGGGAGGGGAGGATAGTGTAAAAGTAACGCAATGAAGATCATTTGCTGAAGTAATATAAACACTACGAAAAAAAATAATATTAACAAAGGAAACATAGTTTTTGATTTTTATTGATGAAAAATGGTGTGCAGCTCGTATTTTTGCATGACATATTTACAATCAGTGCCTATTATTCCACTGGCAAGCGCATTGTGCGTACTGTATAAGTAAAAACATTAAAAAAAACAACGACAACAATTCTTGGCTACTATAAATTTAAAGTTTTGGTATCATAATCGAATATACTTCCAATGGGTAATATTGCGCTTATGTGAAGCGCACCAACTTTGAACAAAGCCCCTGCTCAAGTTCAATGATAGTCTATGCTTAAAAGCCCATCTGCGGCGGAGAGTTTTTCTTGAATTCTTTGACCATCTTGACAAGTTTTTCCAAACCTTCATATAATCCATCTCCTGTTGGCGCACACGTTTCCTGGACATGCCATGGATTCTTTTTATGAGTTACAAGTCCGAGTTGGTGCATGATTTGGCTTGCATTCATTGCATTTGGAAGATCTTGTTTGTTAGCAAACACAAGCACAGGAACTCCAGCAAACTCAGGTTGATCGATAATTCCATAGAACTCTTCTTTTGCTTCAGCAAATCTTGAGATGTCTGAGCTGTCAATCACGAATATTAGACCATTTGTCCCTTGATAGTAGTGCCTCCAAAGAGGTCTGATCTTCTCTTGGCCACCGACATCCCATACTGTAAGTGTCAGGTTTTTCACTGGCGTGATGGTCTCTACATTGAAACCAATCGTTGGGATGGTAGTGACTGTCTCATTTAGCTTGAGCTTGTAAAGAATCGTCGTTTTTCCTGCAGCGTCTAATCCAAGAAGCAAAATTCTTGCTTGGCTATGTCCAAGCTCAGAAAGCACATTCAAAATTTTAGAAAACCACAGCCCCATCTTGCAGTTAGTAAGACTGAAACTTTAAGTTTCTTGCGTTGGTTGTTGCTTCTGTTCGTCTGGTTTGCAATGGTTTGAGTCGTTAGGGATTCGTTCTTTTATGGCTTAAAACTGTTGTGTTGCATTCTTGAGCATAATTTTTGTTTTCGAAGTTTTTGGACACGTGGAGAGTTTGACGTGACGATATGTTGCATGTTGGGTAATTATGTCGCTTGAGTTTTACAACATTAACAGCTTATTCTAGAATGCTTTTTGAGGAAATATCACTATGAAAATAGGACAACTTATTTTTTTGCACTCTCTGCAACTACATTCAGGTATAACACTTGGGAAATTCAGATTTTGCATACGCATAGCCTGATTTTCAGACGGGCCTGGATCAGTATTTTCATAGTTCTTGTATATATTTATAAACAGGAAAAATTTCATTTGATTTACACAAATTAACAACAATTATGTAGTGTCGAAAATTTTGCCTTGTTGGCAGATGGTAAAAGCACCGATGATGATCTAATCCTTCTACTTGAGTACGTCATCAAATATCTGTTTTCCCCACCTACGCAACCCGCAAAAATCCCGCGGGATTCCCGATATTACTCGCTTCCTCGTGTTCGTGTTGTTAGTTCCAGTGTCTCTCGTTTTTGCAAGCGTCCCTGAAATCACGCTACAAGCGGCTGGCGAAACTAGCCGAAATATTTCCTTTTGTTTGGCTATTTTAGCCACAGAATTTATCAAAAGGCTGTCTTTGCACATTGGYYAGAAATGGTTGCAAAGAAATGTCCAGATTGCGACCAAACGGTAAGTGTAAATTGCTCGTTTTTGATTAAATATGGATTTTCGTTATGACAAATTGTTTTGGCTTGAAACCAAAAAAAGGTAAAGTACAGAGTGAATCACTTTAAATAGCCTTTCATAATTTTATTGCGATTTTGCTTAATTTATCGCATTATTTTGACAAAGAAAGAGATATAAAACTTAAGCTTAGGTTATAAAAAGGGACGTAGATGTAATATTGATATTAAATATTCTTATTTTAATCTTGCAAAGTAAAGGCCGAAAGCCCAGTTTCTTTTTATAATGTTTTTTCTTATACACTTCTTAGAGTATCTATATTACTATTTTTGTTATTTTCTTACTTTAAATCTTACTAGTAATGAAATCTTGATGTATAGCAACAAATGAAAGTCAAAACATAAAAAAATGATCATTTATTTGAATAATCATTATGCTTGTTTCATTTATGTGCTATAGTGAGCTTATTATTTAGGATATTTTTTATCTGTTATGTTTATTGTGTCAGCAAAATAAAAGTTCTTGTCATTGCAGTGAATTAATCTTTACTTGTTACAACAGTAACTAATTCAATTACTACCTCAACATGATATATATGTCACGTATTGTAACAATTTCTATATAACCTATTGAGATGAAAATGCTCCCCTTGAATCAACACTGTCCCTGAATAAATGCAACATTTCAAAGAATTCAACAACATCACTGAAAGAAGATGTCATGATATGAAATATCACACCCTTGTTTGAGGAACTTCATACAAGAATGCCAAAAATGCAAAATTGTGGTAATTTCAAATTTATATGATATACAAAAAGTGTTTTACGATAAGTACATATATGATATTATGTCTAAAATATAGTATTTTGAATATTTAACAGCGCTGAAATATTTGCTTCATTGTTCATGATGCTGGAAGCTTCTATCATCAAATATAGGTTATCTGTAGGATATTTGAAGATCATTGATTAATTTGAAGATATTTACAAAAACAAATATTGATTGTAATATTAGATTGGTCACATTAATTTTCAGCATATTATAATGCAACCACCCTACCCCCTATTTCTTTCTTGTTGCCGTACTRCTGYTTGTGGCATCACATTTGATATACTATTTTWACAGCTTCCAGTTGCCTGCAAGTCATGYCCATGTGGACATATATTCATTAGTAAAAAGCAACTCTCTCTTCCACTTCAAGATAAGACAGAAACTGGTAAATACTACTCTCATTTTTTATGATTTATTAAATGACTTMTTATTTGGGATTGTATAATYAGCAATYTATAATKTGAATGATGATGATGCAGGTTGATGATGATGATAATTATTTTTGGAATAAAAAATCACAAATATGATRGYGATTGCTGTTGTAATGATGTGGTTYCCAGGTTCAGTTAAATCGAGTTGTYAAGGAACAATAAGTAAGATCTTTTCTTCTTTGGYTCAATACTTTTGTTTATATTCTCACTGAAGCTGAGCATGATAAAGAAACATCATGAATATTGATAATTCTTATACTGATAAAGTTTACTAATATTGACAGTTATGGTCACAACAGGAAGGTAAAAACAATTTCAGTAGCAACTCTAAACATTTTGTTATCATTAATTCAACMCAGGAGAAGGAAACCACCGTGACCAGCGCCTCAGACCTGAAGTCCCAAAATTAGCCAATAAAGACTATGATTATAACTATGGAAAGATGGACAAAGTACAAGATATCAATGACGATAAAGAGGCTGTCAACACAAGAGTATTGATATCCCCATCAACATCACAAACACTTCATCTTGTTGTAAGAAGTTATCCTCAAACTAGCAAAAGTTCTGAGATGACAYTTAATATGCCTACGCAAGAGGTATTGATACAACTGTTTGATAATAGCTCTTTTCTTATTTATTGATGATTATCATATTGAAATGTGTCTGGTTTTATTCTTAATTTTCGAGAGTATGCATGCAACAAGTAAATTTCACTTTTCATTTTACTTCAAGAAAATGTGCTTTCTTTATCTCGCAATTCTTTGTTTTCTTTTTTGTAAGAAAGCCATTACAATGTTACCCAAATATGTAAAAATATAATATTCACTGTCTTGCAGGCCCATATTTTAGGAGAAGGATATATTATATCCAAACGTAAACGAGGAAGACCCAAAGGATCCAAGAATAAACCAAAACCAGTTGTACAGCCTGGTGAAGAACCATCATYGCATGATGATACACAGACACAGGTATGATGCCTAATTAAAAACGAAAAACTAAAACAAAAAACCTACTTATTGGTAAGAACGWATATGTAAACTATACAATTATAACTAATAAGACAAATGGTCCACCAAAAAAGGAGAAAAAAATCTTGTGTCAAGTCTGTAAAAAAATAAGATACTAATTTAATCAAGCTGCCATTTTTAAGTGTTAAATATTGCTGTTTTTCTATGACATTTCACACAATATAATATTGTGTTAATAACAAGTTTTCACCAATAGAATACCGAATCAGGAGATCCAACAAAAAGGAAAAGAGGCCGCCCCAAAGGATCTAAAAACAAGCCAAAAGATCCTCTCCTTCACCTTAATAAAGACGATTATAGCTCAGATCCACAGGATGAATATTACCAGGAACCATATTTAGATACCATGCCACATATATCAAAAGAAAAAGCCATTTCCTACTCAATAGTTCTCTCTGACATCAATCAAAAAATGTTAAAACAATCGTCAATGAACTTTGTATAAAACTGTGAATATATCACATACAGAACAATATCACAATATCACAGTAGTGACAGAATAATAATAATAGTCCACTTCGCAGATAACACAGCTATTAGAAATTGAGCAAATATCGAAAAACTATTACCACCACTGGAAAGAACAGTGTAAAATTAGTATGTTTACCAGGTTTGAGCATGATTCGATGAAAAGTCAAGGAGAAACAGCGTTTAAAAGTCGGCAAAATTTACAAAGAAATGTATGGCTGTCGGCATGAGATCGAGGTTGACCTTGACTTGTTACAACCTGGCCAAACATTTCTATGCAAAATTTAGTGTTTTTGAAGTGCCGTATCTCTTTGAATTTAAATCAGATTATTTTCAAACTTGGCAAATTTGCTGATTTTATGACGCTCTTTCCAGTGATGTCAATGATTTACCATAACGACGTAATGTAAAATTTCGAATTATCCGCAAAGTGGGCTATTGATAAAATTAATAATCACTAATAATTCCATAGATTGTGATTAATATTGATAATAAGTAGTAATTACTYGGTTATTGATTATGAATTATTATGTATTATTAATATATGAAAGTTAATGATTTTACATTAATGATTGTTTGTATAATTAGCTAGTGATAGTATTTGAATACTGATTATAATGCTGCTCTAAATAATATTATTTCACACAGTAATCAGTCATGTAGGGCTTTGATTAGATAATATTTTTTTAAGCTATTAATACAAATTTATTATATATCTTGTGCAAAAATAATAATTGCTCATTTGTCTTCATACAACAAACAACAGCAGAATAGATTGAGGGAAGTTTTTCTAAAACTACAATCAATTATTTTGTATGCTTTGTTTATTTCTGGGAAATGATATTGCAAAAGGTGATAACAGAACTAATTTTTTTATTTTACATAAAATAATAGTTAAGGCTTATATGTTTTTCTAAGTAAATTCTGGCTTTATCTTCTCTATAATATAGTAATGGAAGAGCCCACCAGGGTTCTTGATAAATACTTGCTTACCTTGATACATTCCACTGTTTCTTGGCTAATATCAGACCTTGCTTCCCAGTCCCCTAGTCCTCTATATTACACTATTRCACTAGGAACCCCTTCCCCCCTATAAACTGGAGTCAATATTTAAACAACTAATATCTACAATGTTTTTATTTGCTTGTAAATATATAATTATTTTTAATAAAATTTTGCTTAATTTAAAATATGCTTGAAATTTGTCAATAACAGTCCTTTTGTGAGTACAAGAAGCTATTGTATTTTGCTTAATTTAAACTAAGACCATTTTGTCAATAACAGTCCTGTGGTTACAAGAAGCTATTGTATTCTTATTTAGTACATGCTTGTAGGTTTTATATTGCTGTGTAAAGTCATTACAATTACGGTAAATAGTTAAATAGTTAGTAGRCTACTAGTGGAAAACCATTTTTTTCCCTTTTTTCAACTAGAGTAACACACAATAACAAATTATTTAGTGTTTTCATGGGTTAWATGCAATGACTATTGTTCAGTTTCTAAGTTCACAAAGTGTACTTAAATTTCATGATATYATGAGGTCTTTATACTGGGATACCTGTGCCTCCTCCACACAGGTATCCCGTTACTAAGGAGACTAACCTATAAATAATGCTCCTTTTTTCAAAACCCGTTGACTATGTTAGTACTACTTTTGCAATAAAATAAGAACACTACAATATGATAATAATTTGTTTAGCGACTAAAAGCAGCCTGGGATGTGGCTGTAGGGGAAGAGAATGGAAAAGGAAGGAGCTCCCCTACAGACACCATAAAGGCTGGACTGAAAGCACTTAAACAATGCTACGACAGAAGACACAGGTTCACACTTTCAATTCAGACTCGGCTGAAATAAAACATGTACCATCTTGGTTGGATACTTTGGCATAGGAAGAGTATTCACCCTGCAAGAAAATAATTAAAATTCGTTTTTAAATTAATGATAATATAACTTAAACAAGGAACAATTTCATAAGACCATTTAGAAAGGTGGAGGGAGGTTAATTTGGGAAATMAGGGAGTTTAATWGGAGAAGGGGAAGATAGAGCTGCCCTGATATACAATTGATTTTTTCAGCGTAGTTACCTTAGGAATAAACTTTGGTAATGAAAAGGTTTCGTAAATATGCATTTTTTGACCTAGAACGTAAAGARAATTTTATTAGATTCAATCGTACTTGATGATGACTGAGGGCCGAGACGACAGGAAGCCAAAGAATGAAGGGCGAAGAGGAAGTGGTTCGAGCGAGGAACCAGCGACAGAAGATAACCCATGGGTACCAAAGAATGGGTCAAGCCGCGCCCAATTACGTTGTTTTTCAATACGTTTCTCAAAGAAAAGATTTTATTTTATTTCGTGCATATAGACTTGAAACTTTTTTTAATGGTAGTATCAACCTTATTTTCCCACTTCTAGATATCATTCATTCACTGCAAATGACCAATTCCAGCAAATGGCCCATTGCGGTAATGCTATGAATTMATTATCTCATAAAAGTGAACAGATTACCAACACACCCTTTYTTAGGGGGCACTTGAAAGTGTCTACTTCCACTTTACACATGTTGTACTCCTTGTCAAATAGCGTTCTTCCTAAAAACTTCGCAATAATATGAACAGTCGATCCTCGTTCRGCTGAAACCGCTGAAAGAAAAAGCAACCAGTTTCRGTCAGTGTCAWACGATTCGGGAGATGATTGGCTATCACGAAGAACGCAAGCATAGACGAGATAAGCACAAGTGAAATGAAAACATTTCTTGCGTTGGTCTTCGTTGGTCAGCTTATTAGTACACTCTTTGTACTTGCGTCGTGCCTCGCTGTACGGGGGGGTTGGGGGAGGGGATTGTATTACTCTTGCGTTAGTGATGTAAAAAGATGGCGTACACTTCTAAGAAAAACCTTTGTAGGCGTAAGGGGTAGGTAGGGGAAGCATGACCCTAATCTACATATCTCTTTCATACTTACGCATTGTAAAGTTGGACGCTACAGTCGCTATAACTCTCCCTCGTCTTCTATTAAAGTGAATAAGAACTTTTCCAATTTTAGACCGACGGGGAGATTTTTCTGTAGAATAAAATCAGTTTGCATTTCATGATAGCGGATTTTTACTGGCGATTTTACTCAAATTTCCCCGCGCTCGTCAAATCTGCGTCAATTATCACATAACAGGCGCGTAGCGTGGACTTTTTGGCTAGTACGCAAATGTCAGGGACCGCGACACATATTTTGGATGTGGGGGTCTAACGACCGCCAAAGGCGAGAGTATTAAGGGAGTCTGGAACTTCCCCAGGAAATTTTGAAATATTAACTCTTGGAAATGCGATTTCCAGCGTTTTGAGAGACATCGAGGGCATGTGATATTTTCAGTAATTTTTGTGAAAATTTTAATATTTCCTTRCCACTTGTACGCACGTGCGTATATACGTAAAGGACGCTACGCGCTTGCATAATTCACATAGGAGAACACCTAAACTGGGGCGCTGGGGTGAGAGAGAGCCTGWTAATCAGGTATATAGTTGTTTACCACCTTTCAGTGCATGTACAAATCACATGATATTTGACCTTCACCTTGGTGCATCACATGAGTGTTGCGAGACATGTACATAACAACAACACAGTGAACAGTTATAGAAATGCAGCTTTGTACTAAAATGTAAACAGAATTGATTAAAAAGGCAATGAAAAGCGCCCGAGTAATTTTTATTGTTGGTGTATTCCTTCTTGATTAAAGTAGAAATGTTCTATTTTTCTATAACAACATTTTTACAGTTAGCTATATACAAAGTGCAGAACAAGAATCCTCTGTTGAATTGCGTGATCCATAAATATCCCAAGAATGTGCCGGTTTATGATACGTTAGACATWATTGAATTAACGCGCTAGGACGTAAAAAAATAAATGAAAGAAAAATTAGTTAACTAATGCTGCTTCATCAGCCACTGTGTTTCGTTGTAAGATATTTCCCAATCGTTTAAAATASATTATTTTGACGCRCGCGGGTTTGCGTATGTTTTGCGCAAATATATATTGAGGACGAGACGTTATAACATATTAACAGAAAGTTAAAGGTACAAGTAGCATCGCGTATTGACACGTAGCGACCTACCACAAAGATCATAAACATCTCCTATGGAACGGTACCCTTTCTTCTCCATTTCAATCGACCATTTGTCCCATTGACCAGCTCCTGCGGATAAAGTGCTATTACTGCTAAAAATATCCAACTCGGCCAGGTTTGCAAAGATGAACGGCTTAATCATTAGTCCAAGGAATGCCACGACCATTAACAAGAAAAGCTGAATAGCAATCCTCTTCTTATAGCCAATGCTGAAGAATCGAAGACGTAGATATGTCATTGTCTTTAGAATGCACTCAAACATAGTTTATTCTTGTTCAAATTACTAAATAAGGATTACTTTAAGCTCTCCGAGAAAATTTTTCTGTTGTCAGAGCTCGATTGTTAAAAAATTGTGAAATATTATCTGTTTAGAAAACCGGAAATTGTGTGACAAATTTTGTTTTCGCAATTTGGTCAAAGGTTAAATGTCACTGAACACATGGGGCACAGACGCAACACATCCATATATCACTACAGCCTACAATCCGACGGATCAACAGTCATAATACCGGGGTCGTAGAGCACAGGGCACAACTAGACTTGCCGCAAGTTAGACTCTCTTTGGACACAAAAAATATAGTATATCAAGAAAATCGAGTAAAAATTTGAAAAAAAAAAGAGCGACCGCTAATAAGGGTTCATTGTAAAATCTAATGGCAGACGTGCATCTCTCTATGAAAGGAAAAAGTCCTGTCCTGTCTTAACGGGGTTGAGATTAGATAGGAAAGGATAAACAAAAAGGGGAAATGTGACACACACAAGAGTTTTCCTTGACTGTCACGCAAAAAAAAGAAAAGACTTGCTTTGATGGACAAAGCCTAAGATTGTATTTTTCATAAGTTTTGAACTTTACTCCATCACATCAGTAAATTGAATAAAATAAATTTTAATAGAAATTACCACTATACAGAAAGAATGGAAATATTGCTACCTGATTTACATACGTACACTGAATCATTCAAGAAATGATGCCCTTTAGCTTTGAAAAATGTCCCACTATTGATCTATTACTGTGTTAATCATCCCTAACCTAATTTCTACATATGTAATTTTGACAAAATCAAAATTGTTTCATAATTAGAATTCCTGTATTTTCATTACTTCCCCTGGCATGCACCCATATGATAAAACTCCCTCTTTCAAAGTAGCCCATGACATRGTTTCAGTTGTGTGAGAATGTCCAAAGTTACCATTATTATCAATACATATGACACCCCCCTGACCCTCAGTCTTGTCGTACATCATTTGTAGTCCATCCAGACAAGCCTGGGTGGGAGTAGCACCCCTTTCAACATGGCTGACTATCTCACGAGCAAGAACAACTTTCAGGATGGATTCACCATGTCCTGTGGTGGAAACTCCTGCACTGGAGTTTGCATAGCCTCCCGAGCCAACCATGGGAGAGTCACCAACACGTCCAAGCATCTTAAATGGTATACCACCTGTCAATAAAAAGKGAACAACAATGAAAATATAATAATGACAATGTTGATAAGAGTAACAAGTTTTTCACTAGAAGAAATTTAATGATAATGGGATTACAATCAATGACTTAAGCATTCCAGACCAAGTATGTCATCCTACAGGACCAACGAGATGACAGCTGATTCATGAGATCAGGAGTGCTGAGTGATAACTGTATGATGATGATGACAATTATGATGATGATTAATGATGATGATTTAATAGGTCATAACAATAAAATACACACCAGTTGATGTGGCAGATGCTATGTTTCCATGGCAGTCCATGGCAACTGCCCCCACTGTATCATGCATATTTTGTTGATTTAATCGTGCCTTGATAATTTCGACTTTCTTTTGTTGATCACCAACAAGTGATTCAGTGTTCATTGTTGCAGCAAGCATTGAATCAAAATTTTGCATKTCATCCTTTACTAGCTCTGACTTCAATTTAGAAAACTCTGAAATAAGGACAGTGGGATCATCTAGGATAGGAACATTGTTTTTCTTAGCAAACTTGACTGCTCCATTTCCTACWAGCAGGCAGTGTGATGTCTTGTCCATCACTAGACGGGCAACTGCTACTGGATTGGACACATTTGGAATGCATGCGACAGCCCCTGAAATGACATAGAACAAACATCAAACTTTATAGTCAAATGGAAGGATGAATAAATAGATGTATTATACATGAATGGGTGAATTATGAATGGATGGGATGGATATATGAATCAATAAATGAGTGACGACAGAATGGATTGACAAATCATGGTATTGGTAAATAGAAATATTCCATCAATAAATGTTAAGATTAAAAGCTAGCACTATTTCAATGACTGGCATGGTTTGTACTATAATAAGACCTTGAAATATCAGAGAGTGCTGTTGAATGAGGTACAATCAGTATCAGTTCACATAATGATATGTGAACTTTGGTACCTGAATGCAATGTTTTGCCATCCATTACCATGGCATCCATTTCCACGGTGCGATCTTCAGTTAAGACAGACCCATGTCCAGCATTAAATACTGGATTATCTTCAAGACTCATGACTGCAGCTTCTACACCATCAACAGCACTACCTCCCTATTGATGAAGTATGTTAACTATATCGGGAAGAAATTTAGAATGGGCCAGAATACTTACAAATTCCAGTTGACATAAAATCTTTTGTTTGAACTGATAAAAATAAATGGCCAAAGACAGGAAACGACTCAGTATCCAAAATATATGAACTTTTATTTTTAACAGTAATAGTGTTAACTTATTTCACAAAACTTACATCTATTAATTTGGAGCGTAACATAGTTAGAAGTTCAAATCACAACAATATTTATATATATATATATATATATATGTATATATATTTTTTTCTTTTTCTAGACGTTGGCTGCATTTCCGAGTCATGTGATCACAATAAAACCGGTCCAAGAGTTCAGTTGATTACATAAGCTTATACTTACTATAAAGTGAACAGAATTACTCATGAAAGAAACTCTGTCATGAAATAAATATATAACGATAATGATATATTTACCTGTAATAACTTTCCATAACCAGCTCTGACGGCYTCCTTGACGCCTTCAAGACATATTGGTTGAAGATGTTCGGGAATGCTCCAAGCACCACCATGAACAATAACACACGGCTCGTATAACTGACTTGATTTGCCGTCTAAAAACTGTTTTCCTTTACCCATTTTCGAAGTATAAGAAACAAATCTGTAAATCGCTTTGTTTTGGATCCGTTTTGATGACTGCAAAACAAATAAATGATCTCAGATCAGTCAATGCCAAATAA